AGGTATAACTTTAAACTAAAAATACAAAAGGTATAACTTTAAACTAAAAATACAAAAGGTATAACTTTAAACTAAAAATACAAAAGGTATAACTTTAAACTAAAAATACAAAAGGTATAACTTTAAACTAAAAATACAAAAGGTATAATGTTAAACTAAAAATGCCTGTTCGCCAAATTATTCAGGACATCCCATCTATCAAAACAGTCTGTAAGATAAATCAAATAGGGGTCAGGTTTTGGTTGCTAAAACCCACTACGTCCCCAACTCCACTTCCACTCACTGCCCACAAGGTGTAGGCATAATAGTTACCTCTAAAAGTAAAACCATTAATAGTTTAATGTAATTAAAATGATGTTATTCATGAAGTCAAAGTAGAAATTACTGCTAATAAAAAAACACCCTTAATTTTTACTTTTGCAAAACACTCATCTTCCACCTGTAAATTATACAGTGTCCCAAATGTCGATTGACATTATAACGTTGGTGAAAGTGAGGGGGGTGACCTGAATTAAGGATTTACATTATCGATTTTCAGGGCGAATATTTTGAGCATATTTTTAAACGTGTATCGACATTCTGGTTATGTCAAGCGCCTTTTAGGACCTTCTATATGTAGCTGAGACGTACATAGCTGTTTAAGGCCCTATAATACTGAATTTATTACATATTACTGTTGCTTAGCCAGATTTAGTTTTCAGGCTTAATGAATAAAACCTTGTGGAAAGTTTAGGAAACGACTTGAGCAGTATATAAATTTAATCAGTCATCAACTGTAAGAAACTTGTAAGTAATTAGTGATCTACTATAGCCTAACTCGCAAAGAACTTCTCTTATCTTTAGGACTTCATTGAAACATAGCTTCAATATTCCAACTGGACTGACTCACTATGTAACAGAAACAAGCACAATGACTAACAAAGTTGCTAACTCAAAATGAATATAAGATTGTTCTAGGTAATTATTTTAACACCAGTTATTATTTATTATCGTTATTTATTTACTTACTTGATTTTTATTTACTCATCATTCAGAAGAACAGACGAAATAAGAAACTATCATACTCAAACAAATGTACAACATTGGTAAAACTTGAAAGTATAAAAATAAATAAATGATATAGGTGCATGTGGTAAAATTCTCGATTATAGGATTTAACCTTAAAGATATTCTTTTGGTCCAAATGTAAAATTAATTTATCTGTACATTTAATCCAATGTCTCAAGCCTATTTATTACCTAACGCCATAATGTCCAAACAAAACTGTTCGGACACCACAACGACTATTGTTTTCTGCGTTTGCTTGAATTGCTACAATGGATAAAAATGGCAATTACAAGTGTTATTAAGATAAAATTCATCACAATTCAGGATAACTATGCTTTACCTTAAATACTCGCTAGTTGACGATTAAGTTCACTAAGGAGAAACTCATTCACAAAATCTCAGCACGTTGTGGTAGTCTCACAAACGTAAGCGCCCCCCCCCCCAGTGGCATAGCGTATGTCTGCGGACTTACAGTGCTAGAAACCGAGTTTCGATACCCGTAGTGGGCAGAGCACAAATAGCCCATTGTGTAGCTCTATGCTTAACTTTGAACAAACAAACAACGTAAGCGCTTTCATAGTCCTCTTATATAACCATATACGTGCTATGTTACTTCAGAACTAAGGGTGTTGGTAAGTTTCTGTGCAACATTTGACCCCTTTCACAAATTCCAATCAAGTAAAGGTACAATAACACCACAATGTGAATTTGGAATCCGGTTTTAACTTTTTGCAATAAGTAACTGTTAGTTTCAGAAACAATATAATAACTGGATATATATGTGTGTGTGTGTTCAAAACTTTACAAGAAATCAATGCGATGTGTGTGAAATGAAGGGTATGTAATCCTGTTTTTTTTTCTCTTTTTTAGGTTACATTCACATTGTCAAACTTTGATGGTTAGGGGACCTTCTATACATTTTTTTGGTTCACCAACATCAAACGCTATAACAACCACGGATGCGAGCAACACAGAAATGAAGACCCGAAACAATTTATTAAGCTACCAATCTGACAACAAAGGATTGAAGAATTTGCCAATTCGGAAACGTATTAGTCACCTTTTTGGATCACAAGGTGCAATAAAAACTTCCAGCGCGGAGTTCCAGGAAGAAACTACTTCTCTTAAAACATCTGTATTTTTAAGTAACCCTGAAACAAATGAGGGTAGACTTGCAGAGGAAGAGAAAATGGAAGAAATACAACACAATGGTTAGTTTTATGAGTTTTCTTGACCAGAGTTTACTGTATAATGTTTGTGAATATGTGTGTGTGTGCGTTTTAAAGCAAAGCCACACTGGCTATCTGCACTGTCCCCCGAGGGAAATCGAACCCCTGAGCTTATAAATCCGTAGACTTACCTCTATCCCACCGGAGGACATGTTTGTACATAATCTATAGACTAACGATATATAATAGTTACTGGTACTAGTAATAAAAGACTTTATAACATTAAATATGTTATTTTTTCTTTGATAGAAACTCAAAGTTTCGCTTCACAGCACACAATCACTAGAAGAAGCTATAAAGCAAAATGTTGAGTGTCCTATTAAGAAAAAATCGAATTTGCTGTTATACGGTTGCTTATTACTAGTATTGAAATGTCTTTCATACACCAATATGCACTACAAAAATTAGATATCATGTTGGTTTTCATGATAAAACTGAAACTTGAGACATAACTTAATTGTTTAACACAGGAATATATTATTACTATCAACGTTGTGATTTTTTCATATCTAGTAAATGATAAACCAGAGTTTATAAGTAGAATTCACAGAATAAACTAGTATGTTTTGCTTATCAATAACTTTCAATTTGAACGTGTTTATGGTTGTTTTGCTTTTGGTAATGATTAAATTATCACAACAAATTACTTACTGTAACATATTGATGAAATTAGATTAATATACATTTTGTTTCATTTCAGTTATTTCTTCTGGTTTTCCGTGCACTCACTGCGATAAGATTTTTTCAAAGTTTGGTCAGCTTCGGATACACCAACGCCGCCATGCGAGTAAAAGGAGTAGCAAATATCAGTGTAAAGTGTGTGCCAATACGTTTGTACAGAAGTCATCTTTGAATACGCATTTGAGAAGTCACACGGGAGAAAAGCCTTATCAGTGTTCGTTTTGTGCAGAAAAATTTGGCGATTTTTCAACGTTCACAAAGCACAAGAGAATTCACACTGGAGAAAGACCTTATTCGTGTCCAGTATGTCAGAGGGCATTCTCTCAAAGCGGAAACATGCACAGGCATTTAAAAACAGTACACCGTTAATATTCAAATAATACTGGTTGCAAATTCTGTCTCTTATAAAAGACACTGTGAAGTTTATTGCCTCTAGCAACCTGAATCTAAAAATATAAATGAAAGTTTTCTATCGGGTCTAGATTCCTATAGATCAAACATTTAGTTTTGTCTACGTATAAAGTCATTTGGTTGGGCTATAATGATTATATTGAAACAAAAGTACAAGCAAGGTAAATAGTTTATTGATTATTAAAAGCAAAGTACAAACAAAGTTGACTACATTTGCTTTTATGAATTAAAAGTAGAGCGTCTAAACATTCTGTATATTCATACAAGACATTTCCCTACTTGACAAATATACATAAAATTTTGTTATAATTTTTTTATTGGCTATAGTGTTAATATTATATGTGAGTTAAGTACGCGAAGTAAGCAGTTTATCTTATAATTACCTGTAACTATGTATGTGTATATCTTGAAGACTATATATGATACAAAAAACCAAATATATTTTTTTCAAGTATTTTTACACCTGATAAAGTTGAGCTATTTTTTACTGGGAGATAAAACCTTTATTATCCAGTGTAATTTTGTCTTCTGAGAAACAAGCCTTCCGAAGAAATGTAATTTTTTTAAAGATTTTCGAATAATTATTAAAAATAGACATTACAAATTTGTACAGAGTATATCGTTTAAATAAAACAAATAATAACAGTCCAATATAAAAGTATTGATGAAACCGTATCAAGTAGACAGTCAAAACTTTATGAGTCTTTTTTTATCATATAGCATTAAAGTATCTTGTTAACAAGTGACGTAAACAAAACTTTATGAGTCTTCTTTATCATGTAGCATTAATATAATTTGTTAACAAGTGACGTAAATAAAACTTTATGAGTCTTTTTATGATGTAGCATTAAAGTAACTTGTTAGCAAGTGACGTAAACAAAACTTTGTCTTTTTTATCATATAGCATTAAAGTAACTTGTTAACAAGTGACGTAAATAAAACTTTATGAGTCTTTTTGATCACATAGCATTAAAGTAACTTGTTAACAAGTGACGTAAATAAAACTTTATGAGTCTTCTTTATCGTGTAGCATTAAAGTAACTTGTTAACAAGTGACGTACACAAAACTGTATGAGTCTTTTTTATCATATAGCATTAAAGTAACTTGTTAACAAGTGACGTAAACAAAACTTTATGAGTCTTTTTGATCACATAGCATTAAAGTAACTTGTTAACAAGTGACGTACACAAAACTGTATGAGCCTGTTTTACTGTCAACCCACCGATCGAACGATAATCTCATTACTTTAACCAATGGCAGACCTGACGGAAATGACGCATGCACTACAAATAAAACAAAAAAGTTAAATCGAACTTTCTAATAAATTCATAAAAAAGTAGAAAATGCGTTTAAAACCTTAAACTAAGTAGCATGATAATTACCTCCAAGCAACAAAACAAGCTCTGAGTTACTCATATAACTCGATAATAAAAATCAATAATCTAATATTAATCATTAATGCAACGTAATTATTAGTGTTATAATATAAATATCATTCACTGTTTGTATTTAATGATTATAAAACAACTGGATAAAGACTGCGACAGTAAGTATGAAGCATTTTCAAATTCAAAATAAAAGAAAGAAGCTTAGCACATTTGTCTTTAGATCGAAGCAGTACCCTGTAGCTAGTAGTAGAACTAATATATCTTTGGGGTGTATTTATAAACATACTGATTAGAAGTCAAAAGAAGCGATTACATTTTCATACTATACATAAAACTAGTTGGGCGTCATTTGCAATATCAAGTAAATATACTAACTTACTACAAAGAGGACTGTAAGGTTATTTAGGGGATGAAATGGTTATCTTATTGGGATAGAATAGGATCTTTCAACATATTTTTCTCTTGAGAAAAAGGTAAGAGGAGTGAAATTTACAAGATTATATGGGGGACTGATAAGATAAAGGTCTCTGATTTCTTTGTGCTCTATTATGAAGACAGTAGGACGAGAGGACAAAAATTTAAGGTTTGAAATGTAAGCTAAGCTCTAGTTAAGGCAGTTTTATTTCTCAAACAGGGTGATTATCTTATGGAATGGGTTGCTATTTCTAGCTGGCACTCTACACTAGTTAAAAGGGGAGAAGCGATTTCCTGAAAAATAAAAAACTAATCTTGAAAAATAAAGACCTGAAGAAGGAAGCCTTTCAAAATGGCATAAGACCGTAAAGAAACTGTTTCCTGAGGCAGTCGCTGCCCATTGTGTTGCATTTCACTCATCCATAGATATAATATCTATCAAAACATGTAAATGGTAGGGGATTTACATTTTCTCTTTTCTCAAGGGTTTGTCAGACTAAGTGCTCCTTTGTTGTTTGTATGTTATGTAAGTTTGTCGATAAAAAAAGAGTATTCATAAAATGTATTAACAGCAGCAACGCTACCACTTCAGTGTTTAATGTATATTTACCATGTACATTTTAATAGCATAAAACAACGTCACTATACAAAATACGTTGTTACTACAGGTAGATGCTAACATAACACCACAAGTTATTCTACTAGTATATTAAATACATTCAAAAACAAAAACCAAGTTTATAAGAAAAAAAACCGGGCCAAGAACAAACAAACAAAATATGAAACTCATCATTTCTGTGAGAAGTACAAAGTTATTGTTATAACGGTTTCTTTCTTGGGGCAAGTTAATTTCGATTATACAGTTAGAAGAATAATATATAGGTTAGTCAACCCTATATATATGTGTATATATTTTTCACTGACAGGTCTGAGTTCACAGAAGTCAAAAATACAACAATTTCATAGAATTGCCAATTTTTTTTCCGTTTATAATGAATATAAGACTGTTCTATGTAACGTTTCTCCGTTGTTTAAATGTAACCATACAATGAATATAAGATTGTTCTATGTAACGTTTCTCCGTTGTTTAAATGTATCCATACTTGTTCTATGTAACGTTTCTCCGTTGTTTAAATGTATCCATACAATGAATATAAGATTGTTCTATGTAACGTTTCTCCGTTGTTTAAATGTAACCATACTCACAAAATATAAGGACAATTGCAACAAATTGAATTATATATATGAATATATAATTATTAACTGTGCATCGACCGAGTGCAAATTAGTCAGAAATGCCAGTGAAGTAAGGAAATGAAACGATACCTTGTTTCGTAATCACAGTTCGTTTGTGATGCCATTTAGAATTAAGTGTGAAACTAATGAATGCCATCTGGTTTTCGTGAGCTTAAACGTTTTTTCGTTGTTTAAAAGTAAGAATATAATCACTAGAAGGTTGTTCTAGGGTAACGTTTCTCCATTGTTTAAATGTAACCATATAATCACTAGAAGGTTGTTCTATGTAACGTTTTTCCAGCCTTAAGGAATCCAGGTCGAAATGCTAATGCCCTCGGACACAATATAAATAGACAAGTGTTCTTTTCAGTGCCTGCAGTCAACCTAAAGTGATCGTAAAGATTTAGATTAGAACGACATGTTTTTATAAATCCTACATTAACTGTAATATTTAAAGGAAGATTCCAAAAAATATAGAGGGAGATTCTATCTAATAATGCAGGTATATAGTCTTTTATTTTGAGGTATTTGAAACTAAATTTATATTACGTAACAAGGTTTATTTTTCTTGGAATAAAATCATTTAACGTATAAGTAAGTAATCAATGGATGAATGTCGTACAGCATTAATAGAAACAACACCTAGTTTTAAGAATAAATGTAATTGTTGGATGTGATGATAATATATATATATTTTAAACAGATCGGACTATTCAACTTCAGTAGACCAGCATATCAGTATCCAAGCTACAATCCTTCTCAGTGGCTGATTCCATTTCATCCAATCTTCCCGTGGAATTTCTATGAAAAAGTTAACACTAACAGTACTGTTCAACCTTTGCAAGTTGAAGCTAACAGAAACAGGTAATCAATATTAACTTTCAATTAGAGCAGACCACTCACCGAACTAAAAATAAACCTGGTAACCAGCATACTAATTAAATATGAGAATTTGGTCAGTTAAGTGTACAGTGTCCACGTGCTCGGAGGGGCGAGAAAAAGGGAAGTTAGAACCACGTGGACTCGTGCACTCGTTTCTGTATTGAAACCTTGGAACTAGGTGTTTACCACTTTTATTGTCTTATCAATACACAAACTCACATTAACATCTATACTTGTCATAATAAGTTTTGTTTGTTGTTAAACGGCAACTTGCACAATGTGCTGTGCTCACAGCAGGTATCGAAACCCTATTTATTGTGTTATAAGCACTCATATCTATCGCCGAGTCATCAGACCAGGAGATAATAAAAAACAACAATATTTCACAAATAAAATGGTAACTTTAAAAGTTAACATGGTTCGTTTGTTTGTTTGTAGTTATGCACAAAGCTACACAATGGGCTATCAGTGCTCTGCCCACCACGGGTATCGAAACCCGGTTTCTAGCGTTGTAAGTCCGCAAACATACCGCTGTGCTACTGGGGGCAGTTAACATGGAGAAAGCATCTTGTGCACTCCCTAGAACAGTGCTTCCCAAACTTTTTCAGCTTGCGGCACACTTTTAATGTCCCACTATTTTTGCGGCACATGTAAATGAGTCCGTATGGCAGGCCTAGTGGCATCCCCCTGACTAAGACAGGCAGAAATTACTGTTACACTGGGTATCAAGGAGAAAATAAATCAAATTTTAAATATTAAAAATTTATTAAAGTGAGAATAAATTTACATTACTAAATAAAAATTACTTAATAATTACAAAAATTCCGCGGCATTGCCCCCCAAAAAATCATGGTGACAAAAATACAGTATTGTATACTGTATCTGTATAAAGCCGTACACAATATCTGTGTTACTTTATTATTTATACATGTACCTGGAATCTACAGGCTAAATGAATGCATCATTAATGTTAAAGTCAGTGTTTTAGTTTATCAAATGAATTATGTGGCTATGTGGTTTTCACAGACAGACGATTAATATATATGGTATATATCATATCTCTGTTGAATGCGTCTACACCGTTTGAAAACACTCCGAAAACAATGGCCTCGAACGATCTCGAGGAAGCAACGACACCTGCTGGGTTTCTTCACATTCCATAACCACTTCAGCGCTGCATCTCGACAGACTATTGGCTCTAAATCAATGACCAAATGTTTTAAAGTAGTTACTGCAGAATATAGCACGCTACTACGATTTCCGCCGAATTGACCAAATAGTTGAGTTTTGCGAATTACGTTCCACTTACTTTGAAATATCACCATGCCTTTCATAACCAGATATATCCACAAAATAAGTTACAATCATGTAAATATCACCATGCCTTTCATAACCAGATATATCTACAAAATAAGTTACTATCATGTAAATATCACCATGCCTTTTCTAATCAGATATATCCACAAAATAAGTTACTATCATGTAAATATCACCATGCCTTTCATAACCAGATATATCCACAAAATAAGTTACTATCATGTAAATATCAGCATACCTTTTCTAATCAGATATATCCACAAAATAAGTTCCTATCATGTAAATATCACCATGCCTTTCATAACCAGATATATCCACAAAATAAGTTACTATCATGTAAATATCACCATGCCTTTTCTAACCAGATATATCCACAAAATAAGTTACTATCATGTAAATATCACCATGCCTTTCATAACCAGATATATCCACAAAATAAGTTCCTATAATGTAAATATCACCATGCCTTTCATAACCAGATATATCCACAAAATAAGTTACTGTCATAAAGCTACACGATGGGTTGGTTCTCTGACGCTAGTAATTTATTCTTTTGAATTATTAAGCCAAATAACTTTTTATTTTTTTATGTTTTTATTTTTGTGTGTGAAAAATTATTTCGTTTTTGCAGGTAGGTTGAGTTTGTTTAAGAGCAAAGACACATGGGACTTTCCGCTGTATCCACTGGATTTTAGCGTTCTAAGTCCATAAACTTACCGCTGTCCCAACAAGGGCTGGAAGGTTGAGTAGAGGCGCTTACAGAATATACCTCAAACATTATTGTAAAGAAGAACAAAGATGAAATATTAAGAGACAACGCACAATAGACCTTAAACATTATTGAATAGAAGAACAAAGATACAATTTTAAGAGACAACGCACAATAGACCTTAAACATTATTGAATAGAAGAACAAGGATAAACTATTAAGAGACAACGCACAATAGACCTTAAACATTATTGAATAGAAGAACAAGGATAAAATATTAAGACACAACGCACAATAGACCTTAAACATTTTTGAATAGAAGAACAAGGATAAAATATTAAGACACAACGCACAATAGACCTTAAACATTATTGTATAGAAGAACAAGGATAAAATATTAAGACACAACGCACAATAGACCTTAAACATTAGTGAATAGAAGAACAAGGATACAATTTTAAGAGACAACGCACAATAGACCTTAAACATTATTGTATAGAAGAACAAGGATAAAATATTAAGAGACAACGCACAATAGACCTTAAACATTATTGTATAGAAGAACAAGGATAAAATATTAAGAGACAACGCACAATAGACCTTAAACATTATTGTATAGAAGAACAAGGATAAAATATTAAGAGACAACGCACAATATATCTTGAACATTATTGAATAGAAGAACAAGGATAAAATATTAAGAGACAACGCACAAGTGGACTAAGACAGGTGGTAAAGTTTCACAGATCTTCAGAGTAACCTTAGCAACCATACGTCTTCATAATGACCTAGTATTAACCAAACGACGGACCAGCATTTTATCTCTTAAGAATAAAAACATAAATCATAGATAAGATTAATTAAACTGACAAATTACACTGTGAATTTATGAAGCACCTAGATTTTCTTTATAATATTATGCTATTAAACATTTTCTTTCAATTTTAGCGTACAAGTTAGTCTAGATATTCATCTAGTGGCCATTTTAAACTAGAGTTTGGGACTGGACGATGTACTCCATTTTGTCCGTGATCACGGTGACATTACATATGACTGCTGGTAAAACTATTATATTGTTGTCTTTAAATTTCTGACGACAGTTTTTATGTTCGGAAGGTGAGGTTTACAATTCGTAGCTTTCTGAATTATTCTTTTGTTCTCTTGGTAGTCTGTAAGTTGTGACTTCTGTGGCTGTAAGCTTTTCTATGGACGGTGTTTTGTTGTGTTAAGTCGAAATTTAGTTCTTTACTCAGTACACTTGGTTCAGATTCTGTTAATGGTAGTTTACTTAAGTTTATTACAGTGCTTTTAGGTGTTTCTATAGTCCTAGAAGACTTCTTGCCTTGAGGATCGATGAGTGAATTTGGTTCATTTATTGAATATCTTTAGGTATGTGTGTTGGTATGAAGTTTGAATAGCTTTGCGTATCTTGATAATCATTTATCTGTTGTATTATATATATATATCCTGATATAGGTTGTAATGTTATTCTGTATCTTGTGTTTAGTTACATGGTGATATTTGATCCCATCTTATCACATGGATTTATTATGTTATTACGATTCGTGAGTGGCGTGAGTACGCCTCCCATAGCCCTTGGAAGTTCAACGTGGGCAAGCCAAAGGGGCCCGAATTAACCAGAATCGTAACTACAATTGTAGGGGGCCCAATTATTTTTTATGCGGGGGAGCCTATCTTTTGTAATTACGCCACTGGTTTCATATGTTGTTGACAAGTAATTTAACCTTAGATACTATAGGAATTACGTTATGTTGTTTACATTTACATAACATCGATCTATCTGCAATAGCCCATCTTGTCAAAAAAGAACATACAATACAATACTAAATTAATGAGATATGAGCCACACACGAGTAAAAGAAAGATAAAAGAAGCCGTCTACATCTACCTAACTAATAACACACTTAGTATGGAAGTCAGCCAAACCTGGATACAGCTCTCGAAAGCTTTAAAATAATTTATTTGATTAAAGTACTAATGGAATATATATAGAATACCAGCCTTTTTATGAAAAGAAACACAAGATCGACTCCCGACAAATACCATTTTAGAAATGGTCCTTCTCGGGACTTCCTGAAGATGTCAGCAGATTAACAGCTAAAACGTAGGATAAAAAGTGATTAGTAATTTAATTAGTAGTTTGAATACAAATAAATAAATTATAAATTAAAACTAATTCGAAATTAGACGTAGGTGATCGTATAGGCTTCTAACCTTGAAGATACTTCTTATTGTTGGTTTCAGTTGCTGCTGGTATGATAGATGAACAAAATCGACAATAGCTAATTCAGGGTGTCAAAATTAATCTTAACGCCAACAAAAATAAGATTATCTTAGTATTCTTAAGGAGTCATTCGCAACCAAAGCTGTAAATATAAATAACATAAATCGATCTAGTGAAACTCAGCTTTTTTGTATTTTATCATTATTATAAGAATTTCCATGATAATTCGGTATTTTAGAAATAATATATATGTAATCAAATTTCATACTTAATTGTTTAAAAATCATTTGAAAATAGCCAATAATACTAAGTTGCTTGGTTTTTACTTAATAAAATGTGTTACGTAACTTCTAAAGATAAAATAAAATAACACTCGATGGTTGTCAAGTGGCTGAACTAACGTGGCCTCGTCAGATGGCGCTAGTGTTCTACTCTGCTCTAACTTCTTTTTAATCAACATTATTTAATCAACGAATAATACGTCATGAGGATAAAATTCAATGGCGCCTGTGATCATCAAATTCTAAATACCTTCGAATCACCATTGGTTAATCTACTCATTACATATTCATGATGGGTGATCTAAAATGCAAAGTGGTTACATAACTCCTGGTTGTTAAACA